GGAGAGCAGAAGAAGTTCGTCCGTTTTGTTGGGTAGAGAGCGGAGATTCGCCATATGGATGCTCGGCAACGGCGTTCTGAATCTGCGCTTCCTGAGCTTCACGAGCACGCCGGCTCGCTTCCCTCGTCTGTGCGTCCTGAAGCGCTTGATCAGTGCAGCAGCTCTGCCAACTACAACGTTCAGCAAAACGTCCGAATAAACGAAATCCGGTAGAAGATTGTGTGGTGTGTTCTGCCGAATGTTCAGCAGCTCATCCCTGGTAAAACTGATCGTGTTTGAGAAACAAAAAACAGGAAAAACTAACAAAAACAGTACAAACACTGGAGAGCCAAACACTGAGGCTGCCGTCTGCGGCGCCATCGCATCGCAAAGAATATAGAGGTCAGTTCTACAAAACTATGTTCTAACATCTGATGAAGAAGCCAAGAATGAGAGAGCTAAAAAGAAAATGTGATTTAGTGGATAATGGGATCAGGGTTAGTTCAGAGGGCCTGACCTCTAGTCTGTCAGCCGAACTTGACTAGAGCCGTTTATGGAGACGACAGCCCAGAATGGGCCTGCTTAGTGTCAGGAGTTATGTCAACATTTGGAAGGAAACAGAACCAATTTCATTCCAGCGACCAACATTGCACTGACTTGTATAAAACTAAACCAAATATTTGACTAAAATATTTCCAGAGGAAATGTATTCCCCCCCCTGGGATGTGATTTGCAGTATTTTACTAATAGCTAATCGCGAACGCCTCATGCATGTCGTCGCTCATTGATCTTATATGTAATACTTGTTTAAATGACTTGGTTAAACATGATTAAATATGCACAGCCTTGCCATTAGAAGTGCAAATATTCCAATTTCCCAAACCACCAGAAAATGTTCTGTTCATGTTTTCATGATTTTTTTTCATTCTGTATTCCCGAACATTACCTTAATCTACTTAAAGGAATAGTCTATTTCAATCCTCATGTCATTCCAACTCTAGTATTATTTATTTGTATACTTTTTATTTATTGATTAATATTTTGAATTAGCTTTTATATTTTATATTTTCAGTTTTAATTTTAAAGTTTTAAGTTTTAGTCATTTTGTTATCTGCTCATTTAGGGCTGTAAAAATGATTAAACGCAATTAATTTTTTTTTTTCAGCCCTATACTTCTTCTTATTTTGTTTCAGTTAGTTGCCAAGGCAACATTTCTTATTTCTGTTTAAGATAACAAAAATGTTTTTTATATATGTCTTTTTATTTATTTATTTTTTATTTTTAAATAAAAAAATGTCTTTTTAATATAACAACAGTTCGTAAGGGAGTACGGGGGTGTCAAAAAAAGCGACAACAAAAAAACACCATGATGGTTATTTGTACACATGCATAATATTCCAAGTCTTCTGAAGCTAAGTTAAAGTTTTATATGATCAACAGACCCAAATTTGTCACATTTATTCACATATAGCTAAAAATTAAGACATCAAACCTGTGCCACAGGCTTCATATTCGTTTTGTATGTCTGGAGAATATAGAGCACAAGTCAATGACTATTTTTGGAGGTTGATGTTACTATAAACTGTAAGTTTTCAAGTATTTCACTGAAAAAAGTTTTTTTTAGAATGTGTGTGTGTGTGTGTGTGTGTGTGTGTGTGTGTGTGTGTGTGTGTGTGTGTAAATGCACCCATGTGTGTTGTAGAGCTGCAGTATCATGTGTGCCGGTCTTGGCAAGGTCTTTGCGGCTCCTAGAATGTCCTTGAGTTCAGTGATTTATCGTGTTCTTATTCTGATCCCTTTGCTCCCTTGTTAGGTCACAGCTCTGTAGAGGCCTGTGCTGTGTGTGTGTGTAGGTGTGTGTGTGTGTGTGTTTGTCTTCAGGCCTGCATTGCTGGTTGCTTCTGCGCTGAAATCAAGACAGTCAGGAATCCTCTCGGTGTAAGATAATGGAATATAACGGTCTAATCCTCTAATCCCAGGAATGGTTGAGGGCAAATCCAGCGATTTTGTGGGATTGGTATCTTGGCAATGGGGATGGAATTTTGGGACGCAACGCCTCTAAATGCCAGAGTCGTCTGTGTGCTCTTCACTTTCTGCCGGGCTTGAGTCGTAAAGCTTCGTAATGAGCATTGATTAAAAACACCGTAGACAACTCACAACAAGCTTACACCTCAGATCTGGTCGACGATCCAAGTACACTGCATGTTACTCCTGATTTTTAAATCAGGATGCAAACATTTTTTTTTTGTTTTTGTTTTTTTACATAAAATTTATTATGTAGTATTATTATTAAATATTTTTTAAAGGTTATTTTCCCACAATTTTTTAAATAGTTTTAAAGGGACTAGAATAAAATAAAATAAAAATATTTGAATCATTTTTTATTTACTTGATTTAAAAAATCAAGTAAAAAAAATTAACGACTTTAGACAATGGTTTAAAATCATGTACACTAATATAAGATTATAAGACTCTTATTAATTATCTTAGAAAGTGACTGCCATATTGAAATCACATGACCATCTGTGTCTTGAAATTCAGTTGCGTCATTAAACAAACTTCAGACAAATTTACCTCAAAAGTGTTTTCCACGGTATGACAACCTGTTATGTTGTACATTGGTGAACCTATGGTAACACTTGGCGAAACAAGTTTTTATTGTGTGTGTTTTCATTTGTGATGCTGAAATGTTCTGTTTCTGCTTCACTTGCACAGTTTCTTTCTGGATTTCTTTTAGTGCTGGACGGTATACCGGTTCATACCAAATACCGGTGTTTATTTTTGTTATGATATGAATTTTTTAAATACCGCAGAATGTCGCTTAAACAACGTTCGGAACACGACACTGTTTGAAAGGGGTCCCTTTTCACTCTTGCACTGTGGTGAGGGAACAGCTGTATGTGTTACTAATAGGGACGCACCGGGCCCGATACTGGTCTCCTGTACTCGTACTCGT